GCAGTGGACTTTTGAATGCGATGTGGCCTATACAATGATTAACTTGCAGGGGTCCGCCTATGTACGTACAAATCAGTGTTCGCTATCCTCCTCAGACAAGTCTGGTACCTATTGACCAACCCAAGAGGGATGGAAGGCCTGGTTGGCCCAGGGCGACTCACAATCCAGGATATGATCGCCGACCGTGCGCTTCGTAAGCAGCGCCACTTGCCACTACACTACTTCTGTCGATTTTGAATCCTTGATTTAGCTTGCATGCACATGCGCTTATATTTGTAAAAATCAAACAAATCCTTACCAAGCCAAATAGTCGACAGATAAGCTGCAAACCATTCTCATCGCTGTGCTCATTTCCATACCTGGCGAACTAAAATAATTTCCATATATCGTATCAATGCGTGAAGTCATAAAGTGAATACTAAAAACCAATTAAGTTCCTTCAAGAATTTAACGTATGAGAGAGCTACGAAATTTGAACGAAAAGATTATGCAGAAAATCGTCACGCACCTCGGACAAATATTTTACGGTTTCTCCACCAAGGGCCACTCTCAAAGTGACTACATCACCCTTCTTATCCAAAACATTTTTACTATCCAGTACTGCAAGAAGGTCGTCGATCATCATTTTCGGGGACTGAAATAGCAATATAGGGGAGGATGAACTGTACTTGGAGCACGTGAACGATCCATTTAACGTTCAGTTCACGATTCCAGAGCTCAAGCAGAGCCAAAGTTAGCATCCTATTTTGTATTGTTGTACAAAGTTTTTAGTGAATTTGAATGACTTCTTCTAGTCTACTCCTTCACTACAATGCTTAACATGAAGTCCACAACTGGGTCCACCACTAACCACCACAGCCTCGCCCGGGACAACTTTGTTCACCGACTTCACTAAATGTGGCATATGTAGTTTACAGTGACGGTATCTATTCTCTTGGAATCTATGACTTTCTTTCTTTGGACCTGACTATTTAACCTTGGCGAGATCTTATAAATCTAATGAACTGTCACATGCCCACAGGACTGCGCTCAACACGACCACGCAAAAACAAGAAAAAGTACGGTTGGGCTGTTACCAGAAACATTTCATTACAGGTGGATTTTTAATTGAAGGATTCAATGTAGAGGTGGTTAGCGGTGCCGAGATGAAGAAAAAACCACGAACAACGACCCAGAATCCGCAAAATGGGCCCCCCTTCCTTGCCTGTCGATTTTCGCTGATATTCTCATCGGTGCTGCCTCTTTAACTTTAACGCTCTCTCTCTCCTTCTCTCTCTCTGCGAACGACTGGGACCTACGGTGAGTGGCTAACGTCAATGGGCACCGCGGGGAGGACCACGCTAGGTTGTAAGGGCATACCTTTCCGAGGAAATGCGTGAGGGGCCACACCTTTACAGGTTCGCCTATTTTCCACTAAATGAATTCGCCCTTTTTCCACCTTCGACCTTGTCGTATAGTCCTCCTCTAATGTACGCCTCCTCGATCTGTAAAACTTATGAGAACAAAAAAAAAGGATAAAGCATTTGCCGTTGATCAATCCCTTTTTGGGATGCGGCACGCATTCTACTTCCATTTGTACATTCGTGGCATTTGAATGCGATGTGGCCTATACAATGACTTGCGGGGGCCAGCCGATGTACAAGTCAGTGTTTTTATCCTCCCAGACAAGTCTGGTACCAATTAACCGACCCCGGAGGGATGGAAGGCTTGGTTGGCCCGGGCGACTCACGACCCAGGATTTGATCCCGGACCGCTCGCGTGGTAAGCGCGCCACTTGTCACTACACCACTTCCGCCCGAACAAGTGAATTTAAGTCGGAAATTGTTCCAGTCTTGCGGATAGCGATATGGGGGTGATGATAGCTTCGTTTAAAAAATTTATGAGAAATTTAAATCTGGTGAAATATGGGGGAATAAGATAAATAATGTGGCAATATGGTTGAAAAAGTGCTGCAGGTAAAAAATACCTACAGCACTTTGAAAAGATAGGGTTATGGAGCATCTGATGACGAACGGTAAAGAAATTGGATGCAATACATAGGGGGAGCCAGCAGTACCATAGAATCGGATGTAATGAGGAAAAAAGGAAAAGGAATAGAACGACATAAGCCGCAGATACGACCGGTCGATTAATGTTTTATGGGACATATCGAAAAGATTACAGTAGTCCAAATGGGAATTTGATGATCACAGAACATTTCGTGTGTGCACTGAAAATTGATACTCACCTTTTTCGTGCCGCTGACATCAGTTTTCAGATGTTGGGTAAGAATCAGTCGCTTTTGTTCATCTTGCATATTGACCAACACTTCGTCAATCTTTTTCTGGTCAAGATTCCTATCTCGCTGGAAAAAGAAAATCGGAAATTCCGAATTTTTCACCGAAAAATACTGAAAGCTCTTACCAGAACCTGTTCAACTCGACCATTGAGCTCTGAGGTTGACAATGACTGCAGCTCTTCTGTAGCACAAACCATTTCATCTACAGGACTCCGATCATCATCCTGAACATATTTTCGATCATTTGAAGCTTGACTGCCGTTTTTTAGGGCAACGTCCTACCCCATGGTGGGATTCTCTGAAATGCTTTATTAATCTTCTTTCGAATTCATTTTTTGACGTGAAAATATCAGTCCATCGCGCAGGAGAGTCTTTCGGACTTCGGCGCATGGAAAAGCTCTCGCCAAGTGAGCGTTCCACATTCGGATGAACAATGTCGCTTCGCACCGTCCGTGAATACATTGATGAAGAAGTTGAACTATGGCAGTCAAATTCGTTCAACGATAAAGCCTTCACTGATGTGGAATCTGGATGTTCTTCATGCTGAGAGGATCGAGTCGCCGCTGATGGTGGTCACTTCATCAGCGGACGAAACATCGCCCGATGAGGACATGATTCTGAAAGCGCTTATAGGCACCCGAAATAATCCGAAGGAAGTCACACAAACAAACACGCGATCCAGATGACGGAACAGTCGTAAAAAAAACTTTGCAAAGAAATATGTGGCAGCCCAAAATCATTGAGACAGATCTTACCATTAGTTTGTTTATCATCCAACAATACTTCAGCATGGGTAGCATGTTAGGGCAGTATTCAGAAAAAGCTTATGAGATAGAGAGAAGCAATTCTTCCATAATTTCATGCATATGACTCCATTATTCATGAACAATTCCTAGAACAGCACCACGAATATATTGCGAAAACTTTTCTGGAGGTGCAAACAGATTTCAAAAAGATTAAGGTTACATAAGCAATCAATCAAAGGAACTGTGTTTGTTATGAATCTGTGTTCGATTAGAATGAAAGACAGAAAATAAATTAGCTAGGTAACACAAAGAAGATCGAATATGGTGAGTGCCATCATTTATAATATTGAGTGTCAACTCAGATTCGTATACGTTATCAATCCTTTGCAAGATCTACACAAGAATTTCATCAGAAAGACGACAAAGAAATGAAAGCTGAATCGCTCCTTCTGTGGAGGCAGACGGAGGTATGAGCTGTTGGGAACCCCTCCTAACCACGAACGTCTTTCAGGACATGGACTGCTTTTTCAAAAACGGCCTATTGCATGTATAAACATTCGTGGAGCAAAACCTGGTAATTATTTTCTGAAACAGCCATGGGATAAATTACCCAAAATGGCAAAAATTCTCCTTGAAAAGTAGACTTCTTCTATTTTTAATAAACTCCAACAGCATTTGTAGAGTTGGATAGTTGCATTTTGGAAGCTTTTTGCTCCCTGAACAAGTTTAGACATATATGAGCCCAAGAAAGTGGAAATCAGAGAAATGCAAAAATTTGTACCTTAAGGGATCAAACCTACAAGTCGTGGATTCGACACGTTTTAGCAATTCACCCGAGCGAAATCAGATAAACATAATTCTCAGTTTTGTGCCCTGCGCAAGCTCCTTTTCCATTCTAGAAACGCGCTCGAAAAGCGGTCGGAAGACTTCCTGTAAGGCTTAGTTTTAGAAAATTAACTGAAAGGGTGGATTTGCAAAAAGCACGCAAAAGGCCCGAATTGTGCTTACTTCCCCCAACTTACTACCTATGTAGTGATCCTATCTGAATACTGATTTAGAGTTACGTCAACCATTGCGTTTCCAGGGTTCGACAAACCCGATTCTCTTTTTAAAGAAGCTTCCCACATCCCACTTATTTTCTCACTAACTTCGTACCAGCATATAATATAAGTTTATTACGTCTGCAAAAGGCACACGTGGAAAAGAATGAGCATATACAAAGAACAGTGTGCTTATAAACAAAAAACTCAAATACTAAAACAGGTAACTTCGGAATCAGTCTCACAAAACTATGACTCTTGGTTCCTCAGTATTGTGACTATACGATGCTTGAACTGAGCTTGTGACAGAGTAACCGGTATGTTCTTTGTATAGCATGCATGATCGTGACAAACCTTACTCTATCTTCAAAAAAAATCTGATTGAGTTGGGAGGATCCTACGCTGCTAAACCAAACTTGTTCTATTTCCTCTTGAAAAACTACCTTCTCCCCATTTCAAAAGCCACATATACCGCCCCGTCGTTAAACCTCGTTCAAGAAAATGAAGAGCTTTGCTTCAGATAAATGAGGAAAGGATAAGTACAGAATCAACTAAAAACAGCCAAATGACTTCCAGAACGGAAATGATCGTTCGAACTCGTCGCTTCACTACTACGCTTTTTTTTACTTCCGCATCTTTCTTCCCTCTAAATACAACTCAGGTGTTCTCGCAGCTGGCACTATTTGCGGTTCACAGTATCACAAACGAATTTCGAACAAAGCCTGCCTAAAAATCAATCCATCAGTAATAAATCATTTCCTGCTCTTTGTATGAACCAAACAAAATCAAAAACAATACAAGACCAACTACCAAAAGCAGTCGAACTAGCACATTGCTTCCACAATAATTGAGACTTGAAAATACAATAAAATTGCTAGGACGCCTATAGGCCATAGACAAACAAATAATTCTGTTTTAAACATTTAACATAACATAATATCAATCGCCGCAAAATAAATATAATTCAATGACAAGACCTATGACTTTTGTATAAGCGTGGGAAGCGTCGAAACTCCACCTATGGCGTCTGACTTCCCTCCCCACCCCTTCTTCTTCGCCCTCTTATGTTATATCCAGCAGTAACTGTACGTGCTGATTACAGCGTTGAACTGATCAGGTGCCTCTTGAAGTCACACCACCTTAAATTAAGAAGAAGTAATAAGGCGCAAATATGGTCATTCAAAATAAAATGTTCAGTATCTGATGGGCCCTCGAACTTATGCTGCTTATAAATCTGCTTTCAAATTCTAGACGCCCCTGCAAAAAGTTTCAGACGTACACCCAAGCTCAACTTTTACACGAAGTGTAGACGAAGAGCGAACGTTAACAATGGCCTAATTGATAGGTATAGAGTGTAGTTGGGCTAATGCATGCATGGTTGAGGTTCCGCGTAAAGGGCTATCGTGATTTTTGCAATTTCACCGAAATACTCGCCACACATTTCAAACCACTTTCCCACCATAGAAAAGCTTGAACTTTCCTATCAGTCTTCCTGAGTGAAAGGGGCCATCCTATTTACCATAGTTTTTTTTGAGTAATCTGTCTTACACATCTGGTCTCTGGTTATTTAGCACCGCTTCATGATAATTGAACTGTTAAAAACTGGCACTTATGGCTTGCTCAAGTCGGCGTCTCACAAAAAGTAATGGCGAACGCCGAAGAAAGAAGATCCGAAACGTCGGCATCGTGATAAAGCTCACAGAAAATACAAAAGAAGATTGCTGGCGAGGGGCCCCGCCCCGACAAAAAAGCCATTTTTACACTTTGGTCACCGGGCTAACTCAAATTTGATGCCGGTATAATCAATCGAATTAAAATTGCTTCTCCGAACAGTTTATATCATCAGCAAATCGCACCAAAAACATCCAATGTTACTAACGAATCCGGTCCAGCCGGTACCCGACAGAGCCCATCGCGCGGCAATCAAGACAAGAGTCCAGTCGACTTGAGTGCAGCGCGCCTGCAATGAACTTCCGCGTCGAGTTACATAGAGTGAACACTGTACGTCCACCACATCATTTAATCGCCGCGAGTCTGTCTCTTGTCGCTCGACGAGCCTCCTGCCACGTACCCGGTAAGCCCAGCCTCTCCTTGCAGCCGCCACCGCTCATACACTTCACCACGTGGATGTGAGCATGCCTTCCGCAAAATGACTGCGACATCGTTTTTTTTTACGGTACCAGGCTACCATTAGTTAGCAAGTTTCAGTAACTTGTGTTTATATCTGCAGCGCACACTAGGCATTTTTTGCGACAAACAAATATGATCGCTGAGGAAATCAATCTACCCCGGGTACAAATCTAGCCAAATGGCAAGTCTAACCTCGAAAGTGATTACGATAGATTCTAAGAAAGGTTTACAAATGACACGGTTTGTGCTCAATGGCCCGGCAATGGTGAGAAACGTAGAAATCCATCAAGGAAACGCGGGAAGGAGCCCCCTCCTTGGGCCGTTGATCTTCGCTCAAGGACCGGCAGCGGCTAAGACGATGGACGTATGGAGGAGTTTACCGCAACGCGCATAGTGACACTATACCAATATATTGCTCCTAAGTCGACGCTTCGCTCCGTTGTGCTGCTGCTGGCGACACTGCTCGCCCAAACCACACTAAACCACTGGCCGATGTCAGACTTTGCGATTGGAGCGATTGTGCACAAATTGCAGGAGCGACGGATCGCTTGAGCGATCCATCGCTGCGAGCGACGGGAGATTTACATGGCCGACCAACGATAATTCGGCGCCATCAGCTCGTAAATGTCCCGTCGCTCGCAGCTCCCTGCCACAACGGCCAAGGCACTTATCACGGCCCGAGCGATGGATCGCTCAAGCGATCCGTCGCTCCTGCAATTTGTGCACAATCGCTCCAATCGCAGTCTGACATCGGCCCATGGCGGCTCGCTTTATGGGAGATGCTTTAGAGGTCCTGCTAAGCACTAGCGCCTCTTTCGTCAAATTCGTACAAGTGAATCTTCGGCAAAGCTTGAATACTCCAAATCTAGACAAAGCCACAAATTCAGAAACATAGGAAGCATTCCATTAGGGTGTCGATATAAAGACTGACGGTGAAAGCTGAGCTCAACGTGAAAGCATTGTCTATTGATTTGTTTTTCAATATCGAAGCAATTCAAATTTAGGACGAAACGGGAAATACATTTGCTGCGATACGTGAGCATCATCACGGCGGAAGTGCACACCGTCATCCCATCAGACCCGTAAATTGCACTCTGAATGCTACAGCAACATCCATAAATAATTGAGAGTCGGGTTGAAGTACAATAGGTACATACAAGCATATGAATAAAAAATAAATACAATAATCGAACGGAGAAGGAACCTGATTGATTGAACGATGATTTCACCTATGAACTAAACTGTGATAGCTGCGCCACCCACCTGCCATCTGCCTGTCAGTTTAGTGCCCGAATAAAGTGAAAAAGACCCATTCAATTGTGAATAAGAGAACAGAATTGAAAACGAAATAATGTCAACGCTGTCTGTTTTTCAACAAACATCAAACAAATTACTTGTAGAATTCAGCGGAAAGGTGATTGCAATCAACTATCCCGCAAAGTTCCACGGCCCGCACCAGGAAAAACAAAAAGGAATAAATCGTTTTGACAGTGCTTCCGAACAAAGCCTTTTGCAATAATACTTTTCCCAACGCAAACCATTCCCT